AAACCTAGCCATTTAACGAGTATACGATCACCATTTCTGCGTACTATTTTTTCAACTAATTAATCGTGCGGAAAGGAGGTTTTATTTATTTCTTCTGTATAAAAACAGCCGATTATCGGGTTTCCTTTGTAATCTTCCAACCGATATGTAAACGGTAATGTATCATTTATTTTTACAACAGTAAAAACTTCCGTAGACCAATTGGGTAAATAGCCTTTTGTAAACACGCCCTTATTTACGCTAACTCGTACTTTATCACCGACTATGAATTTTTTCTTTCTAACAGGTATACTACGTTGATTTAACATCACCGATGACGGATTTTGATCAGCCTGTATCGGTGTCATCCCGGTAGTCCGATGTTTTGAACTGTTATATTTCTCAATCAACTGTGATAATATAGAAACCCATTCGCGAGATCCGTTTGCGGTAAAAGCTCTAAACATATTTCCTTTTAGAGTACGGTTAAACCGTTCTACGACACATGCTTTAGTAGTACTAAACGTAGAGTATTTTTTAACATTATGTTTAGCCATTAAAGTATCGAACGATAAATTGTAAAATTATTTTCCATTATCAAGTTGCAATAACTTTGGTGAGCGAAAAGTTAATATATCGGACATTGCTTTTGTGACTTCTTTTCGAGTTTTTGATTTCAAAGGTATGGCCGATACATATTTTGTAAAGCAGTCTATTACACATAATATATATTTATATCCTTTATTTTGTTTTGAATATGGTATCATTTCAACCAAGTCAGCTTGCCATAAATCGTTTTTACCATAAACATTGACCGTACGTCGAATATAATTTCTTCTCACCGGCTTGTGTAGCTCGAGTGCGATATCTCGTTTAGACATTTGGGATACGTTTTATTAATCCGGCTTCGAGTAATTCTTCGAGAATAGATATAATCTCGTTCGTTCGTGTATTCCTAGCTGTTTTAGAAGCACAAAGTAATCGAAGACGATCGACTAACTCGTTTGGAGAATTCCAGTAGACTAAATTACTTTTCTGTAATTTCATTCGTAGTCCACTACCGAAGGGAAATAATTTTGAAATAATATTTAAATATTTTTTACTACCTTTTTTTACTACCTTTTTTTACCTTGGATCCATCGGCTGTTAAATGTGCATTCGTTTGTAACAATATAGACTTGTACGAGTCTAGATCTTGTCGGGTATACGAAATCGGAGATTTTAAAAAAATTAGTTGTAAAAGACCTGGTGTTAAACGGAATTCTATTTTCTTAGAGCCTACGACTATTACTTTTTCGCCAGTGAATTTAACCACACTAGTCCCCAAAACGATTTGACTATGAATTTTCTTTGGACCGTACGTTTTATCGAAATCGGGTGAATTAAACCAATTATCAAATTCAGATTCATATTTTTTTTTCACGTCTATGCTTTCTTCAGTTACATTTGACTCATTTAAACTTTCATGAGTTACATTCTGTATTTCATCATCTTCTTCTTCTTCTTCTTCTTCTTTAATAAAGTTTTGTATTAATTCTCTTTTCTCCTCGGGCGGGTCTTTGGATTGATTAATTGTTTGTAGTTGTATTTGGTTTAATGGATCGCGATAACTGGTTTTAACGTTTTTTCTACTTCCGACTGTAGGTCAGCTTCGTCATGTTTTAGTACAGAATATTTTCGTTTAATATTTTCTTTTGCTTTTATTAGCTCGCAAAATACTCTAACTCGAGGCATGGTTATACAGTAAATGAGATATTTTCGTATAATCCACCGCTTTATATAGCAACAAACGTATCGAAACCGTGACGATATCGCCCGTTATCTCGCTCGAATTCTTTACTAATTACTACAAAATTAAACCTCCCCTTAGCCCAATATGAAATCCTATAACTCAATAATAATAATTAATCGTTTACCTTTAGCTTCCGGTGTCTCTCAAAGACCAGAACCAATCCATATTCTGGGAGTGACAACAGGTGGCGAAATGCAATTCTTATGACCGCAGTTGATTCCCAATCAGCGCTGATATTCCGGTTGGGCGTGTTGACTTCCTTTTTTGCCGTTTCTTTTGAAACTTTTTCTTAATAGAGGCAATCGGTGACTTATCGCTTTGTACCTTAAGAATATTTTTTAATTTGGAATCAATCATGCAACGGTTAATTATTACAAATTATATGTTTTATATTATATGTTTAAATTAAAGTGTTCTTTAGTATTATATGTAATATTTAAATTTTACGTAATTTGTTTTTGGTAGTTACTATGTGGAAAAAATTGTGAGACTAAACGGATATGCTTGAAAATCTGACAGTTTTATTTATAAGTGTTTGTGGCCCAAAAAGAAAAAATTGAGTTTATGTATTTTGTTTTTTTTTTTATAAGAATTTTAGTATCAAATTTTAACAAAATCGTAAATATTACGGCTTTTCAGTACACCTGTAACCAAAATCCGCTCCAAATCGTTTGTCGTTACTCGTTAGCAATGATTTATCGTCAACAGATATGAATTAAATAACTTTAGGTATCCTGCCTACCTTGCCTACTTCCCAACTACAACAGTGACGTCACCCGTCACCAGTATCGGTTCGTTTATTTTTCTTGTACACTCATACTGGCTTAAATTTATGAAAAAAACGTCTAATTTTCGAAAATCAAACCACCAGTCGATCTGATCGATGTATTTCCAACGATTTGAAAAATCAAATCGTTTTAAACCGTGTCTACGTGTTCCAGCCGATTTTCGACAACTTTGCGATACTACGTTGTCTCGGTTGGTGTAAAATACGGGCGTAGCAGGAACGCTACTACACTCGGGACACGTATTACGGAACATTATTGTAATCCAAACGAACGAAATAATTTCCATTGGCCATATACCCCGTTGTTGTATTGCGTAATTATTTACGTGTACCGATAAACCTTGCGCGCCGGCGGTAGATAACGCGTTTCCGTTACGTATGCCCGCGCGGCGGGAGCGGAGCGTGAGGTTTTAGAACGCTGGCCGCTGTGGTCATGAC